ACGAGACTGGCATCTCTTTACTTTCTCCTTAATAATTCCAGCAATTTATTCCTATCAATACCACCACATTTTCAGTTGCGCAACACACATGCCAGCCTTGCATGCTCACCTCTGCTTTTTCCCCATTTTCTCAAACTTAACTGGCAATAACCAGGCTGGTAATCTTGAACAAAAAAGGTCTAAACTGTCTAGCTCTATTTATGTTACTTTTGTTTCTATTTCTAGGCTTGTGTTGCATCACGTTTAATTGCAATATATCATAATCATCCCTGATGACACACATTCTCCTACTGAAAAGGTCTTTCAAGTGGGAGAATTTGAATTTAATAGAAGATGCTGGCAAAGTGCACACATTATCTATTTCCAATCCTTGAATTTACTGTTTCTACTATTTCCTTATGCTGGACTATTCGTTCTGTAAATGACCTATTTCTCCACAGATGGTGCCAGACTTGCTGAGCTTTTCCAGCAACTTCTATTTTTGTCTCTGCTTTTATATTCATTCGAGAGCCATGGGCATCATTGGCTGGGCTAGCATTGATTGCCCTTGCCCTACTTGCCCTTAAGAAGGTGGTTTTGAGCTGCCTTATTGAACTGTTGCAATCCGTGTACTGCTGGTAGACCCACAATGCTGTTAGGGAGGAAATTCCCAAGATTTTGACCCAGCGATAGTGAAGTAATGGTGATATATTTCTAAGACAGAATGGCGAGTGGCTTGGAGGGCACCTTGCAGTTGATGGTGTTCCCATGTGTTGACTGTCCTTGTCCTGCTAGATGGAAGTATTTGTGGATTTGGAAGGAGCTATCTAAGCATGTTTTGCAAATTTCTCTTGTGCATCTTGTAGATAGTGCACTCCACTGCTACTGAGCATGGATGTTTGAGTGACTGAATAGATGTGGATGTGGCACCAGTCAAACGTACAACTTTGTCCTGGATGGTGTCAAGTTTCTTGAGTATTGCTGAAAGCTGGACACATCCAAGCAAGTGGAGACTTCTCAATTACTCGCCTGACTTCTACTTTGTAGGTGGTGAACCAACTTTAGGGAGTCAAGAAATGAGTTACCTGCTGCAGGACTCCTAGCCTCTGTGCTGCTTTTGTAACCCCTATATTTATATGGCTAGATCAGTTAACTTGCAAATCAATGGTAACCCCCAGGATGTTGATTGTGGGGGATTCAATGATGGTAATGCCATTGAATGTCATGGGGTGGTGATTAGATTGTCTCTTATTGGAAATGGTCATTGCCTGGCAGTTGTGCGGTGCAAAATTTTAAAAAAGACACCAGGGACAATTTTTTTTTAACACAGTGGTTCGTGTATAGAATGAACTTCCAGGGTACGTGGTGGATGCAGATACAGTTACAACATTTAAAGGACATTTGGATAATAAATGAATAAGAAATATTTGGACCAAGTGCATGCAGGTGGAACTAGTTTAGTTTGGGATTATGGTCGGCACCAAAGGAGCTGTTTCTGTGCTCTGTGATTCTGTTCCACTTTTTAACCCAAGCCTGGATATTGTCCAGATCTTGTTGCATTCAGGCATGGATTGCTTTAGTATCTACATTGTTGGGCATTGTGCTGAACATCATGCAATCATCAGCGAACATCCCTGCTTTTAACCTTTCGATGGAAGGAAGATCATTGATGAAGCAGCTGAAGGTGGTTGTTTCTAGGGCACTGCCCTGAGGAATTCCTGCAGAGATGTCCTGTAGCTGCAATACTGACATCCACCAACTACAATTATTTTCCTATGTGCCAGGTGTGATTACAACCGTCAGAGACTTTCCCCACTGATTCCCATTAACTCCAGTTTTGTGGGGGCTCCTTGACACCACACTTAGTCAGATGCGACCTTGATATGAAGGACAGTCAGGAGCCGAGTGGCCCTGTCAGAATCCAAACTGGGCATCGGTGAGCAGGCTTTGCTTGATAGCACTGTCGATGGCACCTTCCATAACTTTATTGATGATTGAGTCAACTGATGGGGCAGTAGTTTACTGGGTTAGACTCATCCTGCTTTTTGTGCACAGGACATACCTGGGCAATTTTCCAGATTGTCGGGTAGATGTCAATGTTGAAGCTGTACTGGAACAGCTGGCTAGGGGTGTGGCAAGTTCTAGCACACAGGTCTTCAGTAATATTGCCGGAATACTGTTAGGACCTATAGCCTTTGCAGTATCCAGTGCCTACAACCATTTCTTGATATCACATGGAGTGAATCGAATTGGCTGAAGACTGGCATCTGTGATGCTGGAGACTTGTGGAGGTGGCTAAATGGATCATTCAGGTACCACTATTAGCTGGAGATGGTTGCAAATGTTTCAGCCTTATATTTTGTATTGATCTGCTGGGCTCTCCTGTATTGAGGATGGAGATATTTGTGAAGGTAGACCAACAGGAAGATGGAAGAACACAGCAAGCCAGGCAGCGTCTGGAGGAAAGGAGCAGTCAACGTTTTGAGTATTATCCTTCTTCAAGACTGGATGTGGGGGTAGGGGGAGCTGCTGATAAAGAGAGGAGGGTTAGGGGTGGAAGCGGAATGGTGGTGATGGGTGGACACTGGTAGTACGTACGACCTGGTTGATCGATGGGAGGGATAAATACGGTTGGTGGCTGGAAGGGAGGGTCAGAAGGTGGAATGGAAGGGAGGAGGTGGGGCTGGAAAGGGAGCTGGGGGATGGGTGGAAAGGTTATTTGAAATTGGAGAAGTCAATGTTGAGTCTTCCGGGCTTGTGAAGCCTCCACCCCCAGTGAATTGTTTTGGTTGTCCACCACCGTGTATGTGGCAGGAACTGTAGAGTTTAGATCTGATCTGTTGGTTATGGAAACGCTTAGCTCTGTCCATCACTTGCTGCTTATGCTGTTTGGCATGCAGGTAATCCTGTCTTCTAACTTCACCAGGTTGACACTTCATTTTTAAGTATGCTTAATGCTGCTCCTGACATGTTCTCCTGCACTCTTCATTGAGCCAGGCTTGGTCCCCTGGCTTAATGGTAATGATGGAGTAGGGGATACTGCCAGGTCATGAGGCTGTAGATTTTGTTTGAGTATGATTTTGCTGCTGCTGATGGCCCACAGTGCCTCATGGATGCTCAATCTTGAGGTACTAGATCTGTTCAAAGTCTGTCCAATTTAGCATGGTGACAAATTATTTTATAAAGTTAGTATTTCATGATCGGCACATTGATATTGTTAGAAAATGATGGCAACTGTGTTATCTAAAATGGTCAATTTTATTAGAAGGGCACCTGCAACATGAAAAAGATGACATTAGTATATTTTTACATTTGCAGACATATATTACAGACTCACCAAATAAGTCATCACACCACTTCTGAGTGATGAAGACAATAGTTCTTAATCCTTCCTCCTCCAAAACAAAATTTGCTGAATATATTTTGTAATTTCATGCATTCCTTATTTTCTAAATAATCAAGCATAAGACAGCTGAAGAACAGTCTTATTGGCGGAAAAGACATATGAAACTAACATTCCTCTCACTGCTGCCTTTGCATGTAGTACTTGTAGTGACCACATCTAATGGAATTTAACTCCTTTCAGAGAAAGGCACTTACACTTAAAGGTCAGTATTCTAACTTGTCGTATGAGTATTATGTACTAATTAGTAATCATACATTTTTTCTGAATTAATTTCCACAAAAGGATATGGAAGGATAATTTTGAAAGTTCTTTACACACATTAGAAACTTTTTTCAGATTACTTATGTTTTTCAGAAATCATTTCTGTAGTTACTGAAATAAAATTAATGTATTACTCCATGTATGATGATTTGGTGAATATTTGTAACCTTGCAAAATATCGATTTGCTCTTTACCAGGTCTTTTCCTGCCTTTTAAGCAAAATGCAAATGCAACACTGGACTAAACATGACTTTCCAATTGTCAATAGCATGTCATTCAAATTGTTGCCTTTACTTGCTAATTCAGTGACAGATTTTCTAATGTATGGCCATAACTTAATGATTTATTTTATTCAGATTCACTTTCGACAGTAAGATTAACAATATTGAATTACGTATGGAATTTGATTTTCAGTTAATCAGAATAGCTATTCTTAATGGTTGGAAATGCAATTCTACTTGTAAAGGTGTTTTTTTCATATGTGTTTACAAAGTCTGCTATTCAGTAATTGACATATTTACAAAGTGATACGTGTGGATTGATATGGTACACTGAGCAGAAATTTCATCATTGGGAATATTCATTTGAATACAATATTCAACAGAATGTTTTTTTAATGTTGAATAAATTGATTTCACCTGTAAAAGGTGAAGACTGATTGAAGTTTCAGTTGTGAATTTTTGTGAAATTTGAAAAATATGTTCAGGTCAGTGCATTGCAAATGAATGTTGTAATGCAATTCTGAAAGGTTGTGTTGAACGTTCCTAAAGCAACATTGGAAATCAAATTGACAAGTGCAAAGAAGATGGAACAGAGGTGTTAAGCAGTATAGCCCACCAAGGGTTCATGCAGTTCATTAAGTAGCTTTGATTTCTGTAAGCTGAAAATACCAGGCAGCAGTAATGATTGCTTGCACTTAGTTCAACCAGTAGAAGTTACCTTTGCATAATGAAGAACTATTCTCAAGAAGAATCATACTGGACTTGAAGTGTTAATTCTGACTCTTTCTCCACAGATGCTACCAGACCTGCTAAGTTTCTCCAGCAATTTTTTGTTTTGTTTCAAATTTCCAGAATCCACAGTTTTTGCCTTTAACCCCTTCCAAGATCTTCTCTACAGTGATAGATATGCTGCCCAATCTGATATCACTGAACAAATGCAAGCTATTTGAAAGACTGAAGCTGATACTGGTGAAAAGTGTAGCTTTCAACTCCTTTCAATCACATCATCCTCGGATCATGACACACAAATTTCTTAGTTGCAGCCAAAAGTGTAACCATGTGTGACTCTATAACTCTGAATGAAAACATGTGCTTCACTCCATTGATTGCTATCGCACTTTTTTTCTTCACAGTGTTCATCTTGCAAGAAGGTTGTTACAATTGGAAAAGCAAAATTCACTCCTTCGAAGAGATTTAGATTGTCAGAAGGTCCATGCTAATGAATTAAGTCAAGAGGTAAATTATGTGAGAAAAATAGAATCATTTGTACCCAATGAATTGTTAATACTGAATGAAAGTCAATTATTACTTGCTGTTTCTACAATTTGTAGGTGCTGTATATTGTAGACTGGTTGATATTTGTACCTCAGATCAGGGCTGAGATACGCACCTTTGACAAAATCCTTGTGTGCATAGCTTGGTCAGTGCCTTATACCCGGATTGAAACCCATCCAGCAGGTTATTGAAAGTATTTGACACTGTTTCTAAATCACCCTTTCCTGTAAGTGTAAATCTTGTGTGTGATCTCTTGGGCTTTTTATAAAAAGAGTGTTTTGAACGATATGAGTTAGGTGTCTGGAGACAGGACCAATTATTCTTTGACAGAAAGTGTTATGAGGAGATTTGATGTGTGCTAAGATCAGTAATTAGCTGAGAATAGATTGACCTGAATGTGTGGCTTCATTAATGTCTTTCAACATGTGAGAAGTGAGAGTCTATGTTCCAAGAACTTATTGAGAGATGACATGGGAGGAGCACCTGCTGTTTAGAAAATTGAGAGAGGCTTACACTTATTTTTGTGATGCAGTGTGTGTGTGATTTATGTATATGTCAATATCATTTATTTTTGAGTTTGGATTTTGAGCTAGTGACTTGTGGGTTATGGTCTGTGTATTTTGGGAGGGGGCTGGTTAATGATCAACTTTTAAGACTTTATGGAGCCTTTCTTTATAACCAGAATGAAAGAGACTGAGAGTTCCTGGATTGATAATGGGAATTTGTTTGCATTGTGAGATTTTTACAATTGGACAGGTAAACACTGAAAACCATTAGTTTGCTTTTGGCTTAGCAAATTTTATTTTTCCTTAAGTAACGAGTTCATAGCTTATAAAGCTTTTGGTTTCTGTTCTGGTTGAAGTTAGATGCAAGAAACGGTTTCTCCTGGAGAAAGGAGTTAGTTTGAAACAATTAAGAAATAGGTTACCTCAGTGTAAGAGTTTAGTTTGAAAGTTCCAGACCAGAAAGGTTTGGGTAGAACTCGGAAGGGGTTATTTGAAGCTACGAAGGTTTAAACACAGTTGTGTGACTAATTAAGGCAAAGGCTGTCAAGCTGTCAAAATGTCAAGAGCAGGAATTAAAAGAAACAAAAGTGTCAAATCCGTAGATGAAATGGAGAAAGGAACTCTAGGATTTGGCTATTGTAAATGGATGGTGTTGAGATTGTATTTTACCATGTGTTTTGAAACCTTTCAAATTGTTTTATGTGTCATTGGCTTGATGTACTGTATTTTATCTAAATTTCTTTTGCATAATGGAACTTCTATTTTCTGGTTAAAATTAGCACGATGTGCTTGTTTTTTGGTGAAAGACCACCACATTAAAACCAAAAAAAACCCATCAAACCAGTTTTAAATCTGCAATCTGATTTGTCCAGTAATGGTATCAGCTTGGATCATAACGTTTTAACTTTACTTTTTGTACACTGTTCATTTACCCATTAAATTTTAATCCAAGCATCAGTCTGAACAGATTACATACTTGTCCGCAATCAGAAATGTTATTAGGTGGTGGTAGATGATATGTTCCAAACTGCACGCATGCAGTTCAGCCCACATAAGCTCAACGCCATTTGGCACAAAATAACTGACTTGCTTGGCAACCAATATTAAACATCCATCATGCTGAATCTGCACTTCCTCCTCCATTGCATACCGTGGTCTGGGCCCAAGAGGCACATTACGAGTCCTGGTCCTCCTTCCTGGTTTATGGGCCCCTGATTCTTTTCCCCCCACCCCCCCCCACCCCCCCCCCCCACCACCACTTCACAAATCCTCCTCAATCATGCATTTTTAAAAAAAATGAAGCTAATACATTTAAAAGGTATTTGCTTGAAATAATAAGCAAGTTTTGACAAGCTCAAAAATGTGTATTTTTTTAAACAATTACAAACTTTGTATGTAATTTATAGCTACCTGACGTACATATGTTGTCTGTGTTTTAGGCAGCTTGCTACCACCCTGCATTTATTATTTTGCAGGATACACTGAAATATATAGTTATCTTGTAGATTCTGTACTATTTTTTGCCTCCTATGAGAGCTCTGTTAAAGTCTTTACTTCAACAGACTATTACACAGATGTCAGTTAATTTACAAGCTTAAATTTGGTTTGCAAAGCTCTACATAGTCCCTCTTTAAAATTTGTTTTATTTCAGGTACAATAGAATCAGTTCTGAAGAACAATTATATTTGCCTCAAAGCTTAAACTCTCAGATACCGTGAGACCTGCTGAGTTCTTCCAAGATTCTTCATTTCTATTTCGGATTTTCACAGTTCACAGTATTTTACTTTGTGTTGTTAAACTAAATTCATCACTTTAGTTATAATTCCATGAATACAGTATGTTTTTATTTCCCAAAAACAATTGGTTTCATCATTTAACTCATCAAGTACACTTTTATAATTTTTTTAATGATATATCATGTATGTATTTAATATTGTTATAGGTGTGAGAGAGAGTTAATTAAATCTTCCCCAAATTAACGTGTCACAGTTCGAATAATCCCAGCATGCTCATTTAAATCCTCCACTGTTAACTTTTGATATCATGATAGAAGAAGACAAGAGCTAGGAGCAGGAACAGATCATATGGCCTGTCAAGACTGCTCTATCATTGAGTACCAACTCCACTTTTTCTAGCCCATTCCCCATTTCCTTGGTTCCCTGAAAGCCTGGAAATCTGTGTATACCAGCCTTGAATGTGAGAAATCACTATTAGAATCCAAACACTTTTAAACCATTTTACTTCAAAGAAAAGCATGTACTTCACATTTGTTGAAAGGATCTTCCCTCCATCTTCGGATATTTGTTAACAGAAATTGAGCTGCAATATTCGTGACACCTTAGAGACTAAAGAAGCCCGTGTTCATATACAGTAAGGGGCCTGGACAAGATCCAGGTTTGGGCTGATAATGGCAAATCACATTTGCAGCACACAAGTGCCAGGCAATGATCATCTCCAACAAGCCCAAATCTAACCATCACTCCTCATTTAATGGCATTATCATTGCTGATTTCCCAATTATCAACATACTAGGGGTTATCATTGACCAGAAACTGAACGGGACTAGCCATCTATATATGTGGCAATGAGAACAGGCTAGCAATTCTGCTCTGTAAACCATGACAGTGCACATTGTGGTCTAACATGAAGAAGTCAAGATGACTTTTGGTGTAGTTTTCCTTTGCATTTTAATGACCAAAGAATTTGTCATTTGTTGAAGAAGTTACATTGAAGGTGGCAAATGTAGAGTAATAGAGTATAAACACAATGCACAGTAAAATATATTGGAATTAGAATGCCCTGGTTATTTCCAATAAAACACTGCTATTTTAGCAAAGGTGGCTAAATACTTATAGTTATGATACTTAGCAAGAGAACCAAGGGTGGGGGAACAGACTTTTTTTGTTTTAACATAATAAATTTCAGTGCCCTGAAATGGTGGTGGCCGTTGTTTCTTTAGTGATTTTGTTATGATTACAGGCCAGAATGAAATCTAGCTTGATGATTTTGTTTTATTGAGCATGGTAGTCATTCACAGAAATATAGGCATGCAAGGCTATAAATTTTCTCCAACGTTAAAGAAATCTATTGCACAAAAAGCAAGCTGTCTAAATATAGAGCACGGTTCGCAAGATCTTAAAACATATACCAAAACAAAGTTTCATCCATTCCCCAGGATCAGCTCTTTGCAGTGAGTCAAATTAAAAGAAATTCCCTTCTATATCAAAACTTCAGGCTCCAGTTAACTGCTTCTCCCAGTTCTATCCTGAAAACTGAAGTCATCTTGATGATTGCTGATGAAAATGAAAGCATAGGCTTTCTCAGTCTTTTAATAATTTGTAGATTTCTAACCAAACACTCTTGTCCTGCAAGTTTCAAACACCCACCTTTTATATTCAGGTAATTGTGCTTTTCCTGAACTGTCCTATATTTCTTTCTACAGGAGAAGGTGAATTTGTTTCTGACTGCAGTCGGATGTACTCCAAAGCTGCCCCAAGAGCTTTTAATCTCGCTGTTTTTCTATACTAAAATCAATTCTTGATTATTCTAAATCAAAAGTAGGCTAATGCCTTTCAATGTTTACTTCCACCTGACCTAATCAGCAGTCTTCTGTTATCGCTCCAGGAAGCCTGTTGTTACCTGCTGTTTAACAAATTCTGGATTAGGTTATGATTCCAGAAGGAATCCGATTTCGTTTTTTTAAACCCTCCACAAAAATAACCTACACCCATATGCTTTAGTGTGAAATCTAAAATTGCAAATATGTTATAATATCACACAAGTTTTATTATAAATTTGAAAAGAGATAAAATTGAGGGCAGTGGAGATAAAGCAAGAGTGTGAGGTCATTGGGAGAAGTCTGTCAAAGGGACAGCACAGAGACTATGATGTGCACGTTGTCCTCCTGTGTTGGGAGATTTACTAATCTATTACGTCCAATAAAGTAAGGGATAAAGTAAATATTTTCTCACCATTATGGCACCAGATGGTTTTGAGGTGACATCTTACCAGTGTTGTTTGAGAGATCCCAGTATGATAGACTGTTCTGAAATTAGAGATTCTGGACTCAAATTATGCACAAGTAGGAATGAGATTCTGTAAAAGGAAGCATTTGCCAAGTAAATCTATTGCAGATTACATTCTTGAAGTACGGGAAACTTCCCTATTACTCTGCGTATGGCACAAACTTAGAAATCAACCATTGTGACTACTTATCAGAGGCCTAATGAACAATCAAATCCACTCAAGCTTTTGACCAAAGGTGATAAGCTAACATAAAAGGAGGTGATGATTGAAATGCAGAAAGAAATAGCTGTGAATTGCAAGGGTGTTCTTTTCCTTGGTTAGCAGATGAAGTCCACCAGATTTCAGCAATATCCAAACTGTGGCAACCAAGTTCACGGTGTCTCAATCAGAAATTTAGATTTTACTGTTGTCATAGCAGCCACCTATTTC